TTATCTGCTCAGTTCTATGTGACGTGTTTTTAAAAAATCAAGGTTGCCGAAAAATGATTATTGATAACATGTATAATTAAGAGTTCAGTGACTTATCTTGCTAAATAATCCTGCTTCATCAATTTGCCTCAATCCTGGGTTGCTCCCAAGATCATGGACGAGGTTTGGCCTCATTTTAGAACGGTATCCAATCAAATTCTTCACCTAAGAAAAGTGCATTGTTGGTAAATAATGGTTCATTGATTGCCTAAACAGTTAAGTGTGTTTTAAATGAATATTTACAAATAAAATCAATTAATTGTAGATTTGTCTTTTGTTATGTGATTTAAATTCCTTATGGAAAATCGAAGCACTGCTAATACTGAAAATGATATGATGTTATTAAAGAGTTTTAAATATTAATGTATGGCAATTTTGATTCATAAAAATTGAAGAAAGTTCAGCTAGGCGGCTTGTGTTTGCGATTCAAGAGTCTTTTTGATGTTTTTTGATGGGCACATAATACCATTTTTATGATCAAACATTGCGACTGCCAGTTGACAGTGATACTCAATGTCTGTAACAATATGTCACACATTTGTAACCCCTTTTCTCCTCTATTTCCCATTTTAAAATATGTCCTCCATCTCCAAACAAATTTTCCTGAGTGGTTTGGCATCATATCACCCAGCTGTGTAAAAATTCCACCATCTCATCTCTCAATAAATGTATTGATTAGTCAGACTGCTGTCTTGAATCAATGGGGCTTCCAATTGTGCTATATATTATATACAGTGAAACCTATACATCCATACTCACGTCTCATCAAATTGCACTGTATATTATATACAGTGAAACCTATATATCCATACTCACGTCTCATCAAATTGCACTGTATATTATGTACAGTGAAACCTATATATCCATACTCACATCTCATCAAATTGCACTGTATATTATATACACTAAAACCTATATATCCATACTCACGTCTCATCAAATTGCACTGTATATTATATACAGTAAAACCTATATATCCAAACTCACATCTCATCAAATTGCATTGTATATTATATACAGTAAAACCTATATATCCATACTAACGTCTCATCAAATTGCATTGTGTATATACAGTGAAACCTATATATCCATAATCACGTCTCATCAAATTGCATTGTATATATACAGTGAAACCTGTATATCCGTACTCACGTCTCATCAAATTGCACTGTTTATTATATACAGTGAAACCTATATATCCATACTCACGTCTCATCAAATTGCATTGTATATTATATACAGTAAAACCTATATATCCATACTAACGTCTCATCAAATTGCATTGTGTATATACAGTGAAACCTATATATCCATAATCACGTCTCATCAAATTGCATTGTGTATATACAGTGAAACCTATATATCCATACTCACGTCTCATCAAATTGCATTGTATATATATAGTGAAACCTGTATATTCGTAAATCTCTTTCATTTGAACAACTATCAATTTGACACTTTATCTTAGTCCTAAATTTGTTATCCAATGACTTACGTATTTAACAAAACTTGAAATGAGAATATCGAGAATCAGAATCCTTTTTGTCAGTCTCAGTGTTTCTTGGGATTATACAGGTTTTACTGTACTTTCAAATAAACTGGTATTTTGCAAATTTCTGTATATTTAGTTTTATCTCCTATTAAGAGTTTCTTAAAAGAAAAATGTCATGGTGTTCATTTATAAAATGTAAAATAGAATGAAATTGAGTGGAATCAGCAAGGAATAATGTAAACAGACATGAAGTTACCACTCTGAATTCTATAGAAATGTCAGAAAAGCTAATACTTTCGCTATAATTCAGTTAGAAAGGGGTGAAATAAGAATGTACAGAGAGAAATTCAATGAAAATTAATGGATTCTCTGTATTTTTGTTTGAAAACCATTCTTGTTGCCGTAGATAGATATTTATTGATGTTCTTTAAGAGAAAGGGAAGTTTTTATGAGCGCTATAAACTGTAAATATTTTCAAAGAAAAATGTGTTAGTAGGTGCTAGATAACATTAAGTAATCGCTTCATCTTCAATTATTTTCTTGAACACATTAAGGGATACTTTCTAATTATCAACAGTTTTGGAATAATGAAGTTAGTTTCGTTAGGGTCTGGGTTTAAATGATGGTTTCGTTAATAAAAAGTATTGATTATTTTAATAATCAAGTGACAAATCAACATTTAAATTAATTAGATAAGATGGGGGAGGGAGGTCAAAATATAATGAAATTAAGTTTGTTTTTCCAACATTCTCCCTAACCACTCAGTGTATTTTCTACTTTCCAAATGAGTTGTGCCAAGTGATGTAATATAAGCCAGTGAAATGAACTAATGAGTCTTTTCAGCTATATCTGTTTTCCACCCCCTCCTTCATTATCATTAGATAAAGGGAGGGGGGGGGGGGGTCAAACGATAACAAAATTAAGTTTGTTTTTCCAACATACTCCCTAACCACTCAGTGTATTTTCTACTTTCCAAATTAGTTGTGCCAAGTGATGTAATGTAAACCAATGAAATGAACTAATGAGGCTTTTCAGCTATCTGTCTTCCACCCCCTCCTTCCTTCTTTCCAAGAAAACATTAAGAAAAATGTCACGGTGATCATGTTTTTCAAATACAAAATAGAGTGGAAAAATGTAATAAAAACAAGGAATAAAGTAAACAGACATGTAGTCAACACTCTTAATTGTATAGAAATGCAAGAAAATCAAACAGTTCATTGAAATTTTAGAGAGAAAAAGTGTAGAATAGGCATGACCTTTTTCTCATTGGAAAACTAAACTTTGATTTATATCAGAAATCTTTGAGCAACATACAGGCAAACTCAAATGAATATTTATGATAAACGTCAGACAGTAAATGAGCCAGCTTGATATTCGCTTGATGTTTTTATGTGTTCTGCCATATTTCAGTTTATATCGATAAGTCCTAAGCAAATAGAATAGACATTAGAATAGAATAGATATTACATCTAAATACTTGATTATAATTGGTCAGTAGAAAGTAGTTGACTTTTTATATCGATAAGTCCTAAGCAAATAGAATAGACATTACAATAGAATAGATATTACATCTAAATACTTGATTATAATTGGTCAGTAGAAAGTAGTTGACTTTAATGTGGTCACCCTCAACTGGGAAATCTTTACAGTAGAGGTATACAGTTTGTCCAGTTTACCCTTGGGACGGTTAACAATTATATACAGTATTGCCAGATTTCTAAGAATCTTATACTCAGTAGTTACATATTTTGGAAGTGATTGTCTTAAATGCTGAGTCAGAACATATTTTCAAATGTGAACCATTTGATTGGCTAATTACAAGTAGATTACTCATGCTTGAACAATTGTTGACCTCTACCTATATATATTGATCTGATAAATTGTATACCTATAATGTAAACCAACATATCACTGTTGACCTCTACATAAGACAACACTGAAATCTTGATTTACAGTAGGGGTGTACAAATTAACCAGTCGACCTCTGAAAACATTAGCAATAAAGTACGACCACAACAGTTTATATTACAGTTTGCTCATTTCCTGGTTAGTACATTCAGTACTGCACTTAGTCTATAAATGACTGTTCCAATTTCGATGGTTAGAGAATGACATTACCGCAATTGCTTCTAACCTTTCTCCCCTCGATAAGAAGACTACTAAATATATGTAACTTGTCATTCAGCGTGACGTCTTATTAAAAATCATTGCAGGATTACATGGAGGAGTTGCCATAAAACGAAGTCATTGAATTCATTTCGTTTCTTGTCTGAGTTTATTGTTCGGTTTGATTAATAAGCCATAGCAACCAAAATGTTCAGTCTTTATTTTTAACCGTGAAGATATTTGTGATTTTGGAAAGGGACAAAATCATAATATGGTGAAACCTGTATATCTGAACACCTATATAATCTGAACACCTCTCTAATCTGAACACCTCTCTAATATAAACACCTCTCAATGTCAACACTATGGAATTAATTTGACATCAAGGATTTTAGTAGAATTTTCAGCTCGCAAAAAGAATCAAGAAGTATTTTGAAATATAATTTTTATTTTCATATAGAAACATTTGTAATATCTCCACAAGTGATTTTTGTAAAATCACCTGTAGAATGTGGGCTCCTACCTGCTGTAAATGAACCCCTGGACTTTATAATAATTACCCCCACTTGTTCAATTTTTTGAGCTCAATATGTGTTAATACATACTTGTTACATATAGTTATGCACCATTTAAAGGTTTGTATAGCACTCCAATCCGGCGCATTTATTTTGTTATATATTTGATTGTTTTCATAATTTCGTACTATGATGAATTTTAGAAACATTTCAACCTGAGAAATGAACCCCTGGACTTTATAATAATTACCCCCGCTTGTTCAATTTTCTGAGCTCAATATGTGTTAATATATACTTGTTACATATAGTTATGCACCATTTAAAGGTTTGTATAACACCCCCATCCCATGCAGTTATTTTGTTATATATTTAATTGTTTTGATACTATGATGAATTTCAACCTGAGAAATGAAGCCCCTGGGTCTTATGATTATTCGTCCACTTGCTCAATTTTCTGAGCTCCATATGTCATACATGTTACATACTTTTATTAGATGGTGGTCATTATAGCCTCTATTTTTGTGATAGGAGTCATCATCTGTAACACTTGTTACACTTTCAAGAATTTGATATTTTGTCTCGTTGATATCTTATTTTTATTACCTTTGGTATCCCACAATGATATATCAGAACATACTCTTAAGGTTTCTGTAACAATTGTTACACTTTTCTTTGTGATGACATTGTCATGTTAATATCTTCTGGTTACATTTGGTGCCTACAATTATATAACAAAACCTACTGACGAGGCATCTGTAACAATTGTTTCTTTTCCAGATTGTGACATTTTGTCATGTCAATGCCTTGTTTATGTTTGTCGTCTTAGAATTTATTCTTGTTTGTTGTAGAAATGAAGCAAGAATTAGAAGAACTGATGTCAGATATAAAGAAGCTGGCAAATCAAGTCAGGGGTCAACTAAAAGGTATGTATATCTGGTACAATACGGGATGAGGGGAGAGGTATCATGATATTATGGGTAACCTCAGAACAAGGCCCAGAATGGTACTAAAAGACCACCATGGTTCACAAAATTATGTACTCTCATATACAGGATGTTTTGTTTTTTACTTCAACAATAGAAACTTGGATTTCCCAAACTTTAATGGTGATCCAAAACTCAAATGGTGTTCAAGAGGAGGGAAGACCCCAGAGCTTAGAGATGATCTCTCTTGTTTTTCCGAATTTTGTCCGAATTTCCACCATCTAGTTACTGAATCCCACACGTTGATGTGATGTTTTAATCGATGTAGTTAAACATTTTCCTTACATCTTTCTTTATCTTGATGTGAAATGACAAGCTATAAGCGGTAAACACCCATCAAATTAGCATCATATAATTCAAAGCGTATTCGTAAAATTTTGAAACTGCCATTTTGTTTTTGTCATATGATAAATCAGGGACTATGGTCATCTCAATAATTTTCATTGAAGTTATGATAATGTCGGAATCCTTTGGTATTCCCCCTCTTTGGTAATCCTGATATTTATAGCTTGGGATACATCAATTTAAAGATTTTTGTATTCAAAATATAATATAAAATGAATGACTATGCACAAAGACATACATATCCTATGAATATAAAATCAGGAAGTTATGTTATGATTATGGCATATCAATATTTGCTTTCTGTTTTATAGATAAATGATTATGTACACAATGTAACCAACCAATATCCTCCCAAACAGTTGTTCTATAGCAAAGCAAACATATATTATGCTGTTTTTTGCCTTTTAAGGCTATTGTCAAATATCTTCTGGCTAAATTTACATAATATAAATGTTGATAGAAGTAGAAGTGCTTCTCCTCCTTTCGTTTCCTTTTCACCCAAGACCTGTCTTGTTGACATTTGATACGGTCAAAGATTTCTACTAATAAGCCCCTGGACTTCATGATATAGTACTCAGTAGTACCATTTCTGGATCTGGCTCCGGATCTGTGTCCTATATTAAATACATTTTATCTCTTTATTTTTCAGTCATTGAACAAAATATAGAACAAGAAGAGCATGTTAACAAATCTTCCGCTGACCTTAGAATACGGAAAACTCAGGTATGCGCAATCTCTCTAAAACCCTATACCTCAACATGTAGATTTTCCTATATGAGGTTGAGATATGGTAATTATCCGATAGGTTTAGGATATTGAAACTTTACCTCAACTCCTAGATTATTCTATATGAGGTTCAAGATATTGTGATAAACTCATATAAAAGATTTAGGATATTGAGGTTTTGCTTCAACTCCTAGATAATCCTATATAAGGTTCAAGATATTGAGATTATCTTATTGTAGGTTCAGGATATTGAGCTATTACCTAAACTCCTACATTTAATCTAATATGAGGTTCAAGATATTGTGCCTCAACTCAACTGAGCTTTTGCCTCAACTCCTAGATTATCCTATATGAGGTTCAGAATATTGTTAGAAAGCCATTTATTACAATGCTCCATTAATATAATAGCAAGATGTAAGTTTTATATGCCAGAAGAGGGAAATATATTTTATTTCCTCATTTTTAGCTCTGGTAGATAATTCTTATTTCTAACTATTCAGGATTTCTCCTTTTTTGGTGTGATTTGGATATAGGATACATCATTTTTAAAATGTGGCAGATGCAAAAATATGTCCCTCAAAATAAACCTTATATCCAAAATCTTCCTTTGCATAACTCTCATATCATTCATCATATCATGTTGAAATTACAAACCTGATGTAGCTTATAGATTACTAAAGTTCATATAACCAAAAATTAGTATTGCATGTAATAGAAAACCTGTTAAGACTGAACACTACAAGTGTTCCTAATTTAGGGTGTTCATTTTGTCCAGGTTTTATTGTATTCCTTAAAATTTGAAAAAAAACTTAAAATATGAGAATTCCAAATGAGTTTGATTCATGTTTGCTATGGTGGAATTACAATCTGAATGCAAAAAATCAAAACAACATTATTGCTCGAGAAAATGATTATGTTGTTAGTTTTTGTTTTCAATGGCGTAGCATAGAATGGCAAGGAATGAAATGACAAGGAATGAAATTAATCAACATGAAATGAAAACTCTAAATTTTATAACAGCGCCAGAAAATCAGACACTACTTTCTAGGAAAATAACGGAATAAACAATGAACCTGACTTGTATGCCTAACTGGCAATGGATTTCCCTTGAGAGTTTCAAATCGGAAATTTTCCTTCATGTCGAATGTTACTTAATTATACAAGTATATGCTACACATACAAATTGCATCTTGAACAACAGGCCAGGGATAATCCCAGACAACATTATTCCTTAAAATGAAATGAAACAATTTGATTGGCTGTCCTTCAAACAGGGATAATTCCAGACTGCATTATTCCTTATAAAATGAAATGAAACAATTTGATTGGCTGTCCTTCAAACGGATAATCCCAGAATGCATTATTCCTTAAGATGAAATGAAATAATTTGATTGGCTGTTCTTCAAGCTATATCATCAGATATTATTCATATTTGAATGATTTTTTAAATACCATACCTATGTACAAGCTATTATACAAGAAACATTTCTTTAAAACATTTAGAAATCACATTTTAATTTTTAGAATTCTGGGAAAAACATTTTCAGGATCGTTCTTCTGTTGTGAGAGTCAGAATTCTAGGAAATATATTTTCAGAATTTAATTTCAGAATTCTGGGGAAATATTTTCAGAATCATAAATCTCAGTTTGGAGGAATCTGGTAATATACTCCTTTGTTTGTACGCAAGGGTAATGTTCCCTTTTATGACATCATTTCCGAGTAATTTAATAAACAAGTCTTTCACTGCTCGATTCAAATCATAATGAAAAGTTACGAGGTAATGAATTTGTCAATTGATTGATCGAAAACGTAATCGTTCCTTCTCATAAATACAATCATTCTAATTGATGTTCAGCTTCACATGGTCAGGTTACACTTCGTGTCACACTGTGATAATGCATAGTAGTAGAATCTTAGTGTGGGGATATGTCAGTTCAGAACGAACTGACTTCTTCATAATGTAGGCTTAAGGTTGGTCTAGACTGATTGGTTTTTGGACCGTGTCTGCATGACCTCATTATTATGTAAATCTTGTGAGTGTGTTTTTTCAGCGAGGGCCCCTAAAGTGTCAATTTTTGACAAAAGTGGCTGTGGGACATCCTAGTAATTTGATCACATATAAAAAATCTTAATTTTTGGCCTAAAACAGTTTAGTGTTTTAAATTCTTTGTTACACCCACAGAAACATTTACTTATGGTACATTCTTCACATTTCAACTTTTTACATAGGAAATCCTTAATAAGCTAGTTTCAACAAGTGGGACAAAATTCTCAAATAGCCCCAAAAGCTGTTCTATTTGTCCCACCAAGGACCATGAAGTCCATGTCCATTAAACCTTAAGGCTAAAAGATATGAAGATAAGGGGGAGCATCCCCTACAATCTTAATTTTCTGTGTTATGCATAATAGAGCATTATGGAAGGAACCACCCATTACTATAGCTGTAATAACATTGTATATTGAATAATATTGACTTACCAGGGATCAATGTTTCACTATACATATTTGCCACAGGGAATCTGCTTTTGATGATTTAATATACGTACAGTGTTCTCCCCAGGATTTTTATCTCAAATTATTTTCTCAATTTTGCTCAAATTATGCCAGTTTTCATGATTTTTGTCACTTTCATTTTGATGCAAGCATATTTTCAATATCTCAAGTGCGTGCAAACATATTGCATCTATTTATCAAGTGGGTGCAAACATATTGCATCAATCTGTCAAGAAGGTGCAATCATATTTTCACTATCTCAAGTGGGTGCAATCATATTGTTTCAATATATCAAGTGGGTGCAAACATATTGTTTCAATATATCAAGTGGGTGCAAACATATTGTTTCAATATATCAAGTGGGTGCAAACATATTGTTTCAATATATCAAGTGGGTGCAAACATATTGCATCAAAATATCAAGTGGGTGCAAACATATTGCATCTATATGTCAGATAGATGCAATCATAAATTCAATATCTCAAGTGGGTGCAAGCATATTGCTTAAAAAAGATCAATATGTGAAGTAGGTACAAGCATATCGCATCAATACCTCAAGTCGGTGCAAGCATATTGCATCACTACCTCAAGTGGGTGCAAGCATATTGCTTCAATGTTGGGGAGATCACTGTTGAAATATATATATGAATGATATATTGTTGGAACGATTGTTGTTCTCCCATACGTAAAATGCCATTCTGGTCATGTCCAAAGTGCAATACAATCTAAAGTGCAATCAATCTTAAGTGCAATGCAATATTAAGTGCAATGCAGAAAGGTAGAAATGAGTTCAGTAGAAATTCTTTCAGATAAAGAATTCAATTTCAAATAATCATTGAAAAAGATACAGAGTTATAAATGAAGAAGCCAAACTTAACAGTAATAAAGTACTTTAAAACAACCTTATTGGATGTGTTTTAGAGAATGTTCAAATTCGGATTTGAAATTTAAAAAAAAAATTTTGAATAGAAAATCACCTAAATGACCTCAATGACATTTTGAAGTATGGGCATATTTTAAGATTTCAACATGAACGAATATATGTATTTGCTCTCAGAATTGTCGCATGAACTTTGGTGGGGTGTATAATGGAAAGGGATCTATCAAATCCCCGATGGGCCCCTAAAATGTCCATCTCAACATTTTCATAATTCAGAGATTCATCTTTCACACATGGTGGAGTCACTATCATTATGACTCCAGTTTTCGTGGCATTCACGAAATTTTCTGAAATGATTTTTAACAAAGATGATCAATTTTTTGTCAATTTTGGCATATTTTCTGAAAGTGTATGTATCAGATAAGCCCAGAGATTGGGGGTACCATTACTTGACTGACCAAGCCACATACCTTTTTCCAGCATTTGTGAATCTAACTGAAACTTGAGTTCTTGTTACATTTATTTCACTTCATTTTTTGGAATAAGGAGTAGTTTTGAAAGCCGAAGCAGTAGTTCAGGGGTCCCAAGGGCTTCTCATACCATGCATGGTATCCCTATACACCCCCACCCCACTGTAAAATATTCATACATATTGTTCAAAAAATATATGGGGTTTGTCATGGTGAAGGTGGTGTGTCATGAATGTCTGTTCGTCTGATTGTAGTATTCAACAATTTCACGTAAGTTTATAGAGGTCATGAATGACTATAATCGTGCGCAAATAGACTATAGGGAGGGCTGCAAGAAGAGGATTCAGCGACAAATGGAAATCAGTAAGCGGGAAAATGTTCCCATATATGGTGTCGATGTATTAATGTTGTCGTGTGCATTGTGATAGGTAGCAGTGATTACTCCCCTCATAGAGTCACATTTGACCATTTGTTTTGTATATTAAAAATTCTCAAATACAGAATACAATGTGATCTGTGTCTATAATTTTCTATGCTGTTAGTTAGCGTATTGCTAAATTCAATTTTCTAAGAATAGATATTCTTTAGAAGTATAGGAAAAACTTTAAACTGTACTATTACACTCTTACGTAATGCTATAGTTTTAAAATGTTAGATGTGACTCTTGGGGGAATTGAAATAATTATACTTGTCACATTTTATTTTACATCATTTTATGATTATTTTGTTCATTCACATTATTTTCAGATTATTTTCTGTGATTTTTGTTGTATATTTATTATGACCTTATAATTTCTTCTAGCACGCAACCCTCTCACGTAAATTCGTGGAGGTAATGAACGATTACAACACTTGTCAAATTGACTATAGGGAAAGATGTAAAGGTCGTATCCAGCGCCAACTGGAGATCAGTAAGCTCCCCTTTTACATTTTGGTTGCCATGGAGATTGCTTGTTGCTATGTTAACCATGTTGCTGCATAATGCATTGAAGTGATTCTCTTTGTTGCTATGGTGATGGATTGTATGATGGATATTATTGTATTTAGTCAGACATTTTCACGAATTATTTTGCCCTAGGCATTTTATTTATTAAGACAACGACCTCTTAAATAATTATTTCATAAAGACCCTGTCATCATTATTGCGCCCAAGGCCGATAGTCTGTGGATAAGATTAAATGTCTGACTGAATCAAATAACAGTTCATATTTTTCATAAGTGGATCTTAACCCTTTTTACATTTGCTTTTAATATAATGACTTTATTGTTGAAATTGTTGGTGAGTTCCTTGTTTGTGAATCCCAATCTCGGTCGTTTCTATGGTAATTCTGATGCTTGCAACCCCCATTTAAAATACTTCTTGGACATCATTCCCTTCTTGATCTATTAAGCCTAGCATGGTCAATGGTCCCTCTGATTTATGTATCCAAGTATGAATAATCAATGCATATATATTATTTACTAAATAATTTATATATTAATACTGAACATACTAATTAAAACTAAATAAGGCATTTTGGGCACAGTTAAAGTAAGTTGAATGTTGTTGAACTCCCACTATGCGATAACATCTTTTTGCTATGTGCATTTTGCACACTATTATCTCCTTTATCACTTTTTGTTATGTGCATTTTTACATACTTTTACACTGTATCTCATTTTCCTTTTAATTGTCACCTTTTTTTGTTCCTTTCAACTCTGTTATGTGGTGTGAAAAGTACAAACTATAATTTTTCAAGTGGATAATTTGTTTTATAAAATACTACACTACTCATTCATAATTTCTCTTCATTCTTTCCTGAATTAGCTAGTCCTTTCTGTAAATCCGTGTTTTAAGTTTTCCCTCTAATCATGTTTTCTCTTTGATGAATGATTTCTTTAATTTTTTTCTGGATGTAATCTGTAAATGAATGTTTTTGAGCTATTTATAGCTCATATAATTGTTGTGTACGTTTATAAAGTCACTCTTCAAAGTATCATGAAATCTGTAAAATTTCAATTAATATGTTTAAAAGAAATCATTACATTTTACAGCATATTTAGCTTGAAAGTCTGTTAAAAGATGGAGTATGCATTGATTTTTAGCGGGGAGAAGTACGACCAATGATGAGTTAGAAGACATGCTGGAAAGCGGCAACCCAGCTGTATTTACACAAGGAGTGAGTCACCATATATATATTTTTGAATGAACATGAGTTACCACAAATATTTTTTCAAACGAATATTGCATTACACGTCAGTTCTCAAATGTACACCAATCAACATGGCTACAATTCCAGATATTTGTATTGTAATTGTACTTTCCATTGATAAAACTAAAAGGTGAATTTGCAAATCCTAAATTTCACATTTGTTCTAATGTAGTATATCCGAAATTTAACTGATTGAGTATGAGAAATATAAAATTTGAAGATAGAACTTGGAAAATACATAGAATTTTTAGCTATAGCATTGCATTTGACACTTGTCAAAACTTGTGACAATTATTGTAATTTTGGTTATTGTACTTTTTATACTTCTAGATTATAATGGAGACGCAACAAGCTAAACAGTCACTGGCAGACATAGAAGCTCGACACAATGATATATTGAAACTAGAAAATAGCATCCGGGAGTTACACGATATGTTTGTTGATATGGCAATGTTGGTAGAAAGTCAGGTATGGCACCATTGAAGAAAAAGACCATGATAGTCATGCTTTCTTTTGTAAAATAGAGTGGAAAAGAGTGGAATAAGCAAGAAATAAAGTAAACAGGCATTTTGTCAACATTCTAAATTGTATAGAAATGCAAGAAAATCAGATACTTTATTCAAATTTTAGAGAGAAATCGAGTAGAATAAGCAAGGAATAAAGTAAACAGGCATTTAATCAACATTCTAAATTGTATAGAAATGCAAGAAAATAAGATACTTTATTCAAATTTTAGAGAGAAATCGAGTAGAATAAGCAAGGAATAAAGTAAACAGGCATATAGAAATGCTAGAAAGTCATTCCAATTTTCAGAGTGGAGAGGCTTGACTCACAAGCTGGGTAACCTTTCAATTTGTATGGCTAATATGTATCTTTTAAGATGGGAGATTGTTCATGGAAAGCCAATATAATTCTCTGTGACCATCAAAGATTTTGCTCTGAAGATTTAAAAATGGTCAGGGATGAAAAGGGAATTTGCCCATCAATATGAGAGTTTTTCAGGTCGAAAAATGTTTAAAGAGCTGAGAAGCAGAAAAAGTCAATTTTGGATTGTGCAGATAGTGTTGATCTAAGTAGTCTTATTCATTTTAATTCACATATCCTATAACAGTATTCATGCACATGTACCATGATATATCATTCATTTCACTATCACTGTTTCTCATACAAACACCTAATTTTTAGTGGCTTTTGGTGGTTTTCTAAATAGTTTTTATGGTTTCTTTATTTTACTTTACAATATGATCTACAAATGACAGGGCCGAGGCTGAATTCAGCATTATTGGCCCTGTAAATTGGCCCTGTTTTCTAAATTCTCAATTGTGGGATCCTGCTAAGGTGACCGACAAGGTTGTTTACATGTAAATTATGTTTTCTAGGGAGAAATGATTGATAGAATAGAATACAACGTAGATCAATCCGTAGACTACATAGAAACGGCCAAATCAGACACAAAGAAAGCCGTTAAATATCAAAGTAAAGCTCGACGGGTGAGTTCAACAATTTGTCTCTTTTCTTCTAGAAGTTTTTACTTTAAAACCTTATTTCCAGGGAGAAATGATCGATAGAATTGAATACAATGTAGAACAGTCCGTGGACTACATAGAGACTGCAAAAATGGACACCAAAAAAGCTGTAAAATATCAGAGTAAAGCACGACGGGTGAGTGCTGCTGGCCGTTGATGCCAGCCAGTCTGTCTAGCGTACTCGTGTTATCATTTTTTCAGAAATTCACTTCTTAGCCATAAGTTTTGATAAAAATGAAACAAAGACAAACAGCTTTAACAGTTACCCATGGATGTAAAATTTATACAATTTTATGTTAAAAATATGAAATAAATCAAATTTTAGTCTAAAACGTTCCATTCTGGACTATGTTATAGAAATATGAACTTTTGCTATTTGATGCGAATAGCATATATCAAGTTTTTCTAAGCAAACGTTTTATTCTAGTGCTTATCTGATCTGGTCATGACATTTTGATTCTACCAATCTGCAATATTTGTTGATTATTCACTTGGCTATGTTGATTCTATCAGGAAATTTCAGTACAATTTTCAACATGGCTGAGATAGAGAATTTCTGAAAAATGTGCAACTGTGCTGAGTTTATTGTGCAGCACTACTTAATGTGCTGCAGCACAACTGAATGGGCCATAGCACGACTGTAAGGTGTGGGACACTGGCCAACACAGCATGAATGCGCTGCCTGGTATTGATAGGAAATTCCGAGGCTTCACAAATCTTCCATCAAGTCTCTACCCTCCCCTTGTTATCAATTCCCCTAACATGTGTTTGTGGGGGAGTAAGAGGACTTGATGTAAGACCAAGCTACAAAGTATAATTCTACATGGTGTCTTTGCTATACATGGTAGTATAGAGTATATTCTATTGCTAGTACACACTATTTGTACCTTGAAATTTGTTTATATACATGTATATTTTTTTTTCGAATGCAAAGTGAAGTTGAAGAATGAATAAAGTAAAATGGCAGACATTTAATCAGATATAATGCCATAAAATCAGCAATAAAGAAAAATATACAAAATGCTGTACAAAAGCACTGAGATATATTGTCATATATACAGTAAAACCTGTCTGATGGAATACCTCTCTGTAGGGAAAACCTATGAACAAGGAATGCTTTTCAAAAGAACCAAATATTTTTCCATTGACTTACATGTTAACGAACCCTCTCTGTAGGGAAAACCTTTGAACAGGGAACAAGGAACACTATTTTGGGGCAAATTATAAAAATTCACCTGTGAACAAGGAATATGGAATATTGGTGACACTGCATATTCCATTATTTTTCAGAGGTGTGAAAGTCTTAAGCCAATATCTGAATATAAAAAGTTTGGATTAATATGATTGAGATTAAGATAAGCCAATTGCTTACATGATGTAGCATCCCACCCACTGTTAATTACCCTGATTTATTTTAAAACTAATACTAATCTGTTTGTTACTTATTATCATGAGCTAATTCTTCCTTTCAAAAACCTAATTACATCAAATCAGTTGTGATAATCTAGGGAATGACACAGTTGTTTTATGGAGATAACAGAAAGTAAGTACATGGTCATTTCGAGCCAAATCTCTTCAGATCTTTTACTGATCCAACTTCTAGATTATCAATGATATAAAATGGGGTTGATGAAACTTGAAATTCAGTTCTTAGCACTATATCTCTACACATCATATCAATAATTACATCAACTGGACATCATCAGACGCTAACAGCAGCTAAACTCAACATGGGGAAAACATAACCAAGTATGGAGTCGGCATTTGTACAATCAATCAATATATATACAAATATGCTTATTCGGCAAGTTTGAGTTTGCTGAAAGTGTGGCCCCTCTCTATAGGGAAAACCTCTGAACAAGGAAAGTTTCCTCCAGTCCCAAGAGCATTCCCTGTTCGCAGGTTTAACTGTACATCAAGTTGTACTAGCAAGAGAAATGATTCTCTATTACTTCTTTACTTTTGTCGATAAAATGTCCCTATATCTGTGAAAAGATACCTGCGAAAAATTTCACATGTTAAAAGTTGATAGATAATCAGATATTTGATGTTTTTTTCATAGTAAGTTCATCCATGAGTCACAGATTAAGGGACATATTAAAGTCTACCCCCTCCCTCCTCATAACATCTCCTGCAGGTTGTGGCAGAACTAGTAGCTAATGCTTAGAAGTACAGCTGCTTCTACAGACCAGTGCTATGCCCCTTTTACCCAATCAGTCTGGTGCAAAGCTCCGGGAAAATATGTCTTCAGGGCCACCAATAGATGACGCAAAATGCAGTGTTTTTTTTGTTAACATATAAATACTGTGTGAGAAATTTCCAAAATATAAGATATTAGAATTAGTTAGGCCTATATCCGAATGCTTTTGTGACCTGACAAAACAGTTTGTGTTAGCAGGTGGTCACATTTCAAGGTTTATTGAAAATGTGAGTCAATGGGAGAATTGAGGTATATTTAAAGTAATTAGGATCATTTCTTTCCCATGGCTTTGTACCAGACTGTAGTAAGATATGGCCTCATATCTTATAGATCAAAACAAACACTTATAATTACCCTCCAGTCACGACATGAACATACTGACATAACTCTTATAATTGCCCTCTATTCATAACATACATACTGACATTATAAACTCTCTGACATCATTAATTAAGTATGACATCATCTTTTCTTGAAACGATACATGGTCAAAATGGAGGCATTATGAATAATTTAAAATTATTGTTATAAAATGAACATGAAATTTTATACTATATGTTTAATTGTATATCAAATATGTCTTCAATTCTCAATCTACACTCCCCTCCAATAGTGTGGCAATACTAATTTTCCATTTGGATCACGTGTTAAAATCTTTTTAAACCAAAGCTGACTTTGACACAGTTAATGTAATTGCTGTTTCATACTCGGTGTATTTTATTTTTCTGCTATATCAAATATGAATTCATGAATATTATATTCATTCTATGTTGCTTTCAAATATTGCCTTTCTATTGATGATTAATTAATGTGCTATTACAACTTGTTTTTACTATGATATAGGAAATCCTGATTGTGATCTATCTTTCTATTTCCATTCTCTACAACAACAGCTTCCCCATCTCTTATGTTTATTTCTATATCATTTTAGTCATTTTAGCTAATACCAGTACAACCCCTTAAAGAAGTGTTCTAAACCAACATTTTTATATTGTTACACTTAATATATCCCATTCCATAGTTGAATTTTAATAAGTTAATAAAAGCGCAGATCTTCTGTTAATCCTATTAAAATTTGAAAGGACATTTGAATTAAAAAGTGATTATCAAAACCAAAATATGGGGTCAGAAAATGGTGAAAAGATTTCAATATTGATTCCCAATTTCTGACTTTATATCTGCTCTTTTGTTTTTACGTAACAACCCCAACATATTTTGTCCAGCACCCTTCTTCGATGACTGCACAAACATTACTAATGAAACAATGATCTTACACAATAGCTGTATAATAATACACAATAGCTGTATAATGATACAAAGAAGCTGTAAATAACACACAGTAGCTGTACAATAATACACAGCAGCTGTACAATTACACCATATACACACAAACATTGCATAACATAATAGTCATTGAATTGGGATAATGTGTTAGTCAAAACTAAAACTAAAATAATAGATTCAAAATAACATTGTTGCAGGATTTGAATGTGGACCTTAGCCTTAGTATTGAACTATTAAACACTTAACATATAAAGCACACCCTTGCTTAATTCCTTGCTTAAATTCCTTATCAATTGAAATCTATATAAAGAAAATTCATTGTGACATGATTCTATTGTTTCTACATTTATACCTCTACTCATTTATGCTTTAACTTGTTCTACTACTTGCATGTATTTGTTTTTATTGCACCCTTTTTGCTACTGAGCCATGATTTTTATTATTTTATTTTCTATATATTATTTTGCTGTAATTTTACTATATGTTTTATTTCTTTATTAATATACAATTAAAAAGCATTTTATTACATTTAAATATTATTTAAATGTTATTTTTCTATCATTATGTATAAATGTTGTACATGTATCTTTGTATTAGAATTCATTATATATAAATGTTGTTTCTATTTAAAATGATTACAAACATCATTTCTTGATATTAGTTATTACATATAAATGTTGTTTTTACATTAAGTTTATACAAATGCTTGTACAGTAAAACCTGTGAATAATGAACACCTTTTATGAACACCTTTAATGAACACCTTTAAAAATACAAAAATGCGGTCACAGGGGGAGATTTTCACGTCAACAAGTTTTTTACACATCGGTCAATGGAGTATGTACCATATATGTGTTTACCAGGGGCCTTAATTTTCACTATAGAGAGGTGTTCACTTCGACAGGTGTTACTGTATATGTGCTTTATTTTGGTAAAAATATATATGTTGTTTCTTTATTGATTTATTAATTTATTTTATATAAATGTTGTTTATTTTTTGTTTCAGAAAAAGTTCCTGATCATTCTTTGTGTCTGCGTTGCTATAGCAATTATTATACTCATTGTAGTTTTAAGTACAACTCTATAAAGGCATAATTATACACCTGAATCATATCTAGGAAAATGTTAAAAAGTATGGACCAATCATTATGTCTGTAGGCACTTTTCTATGGGGACTATTCCTAAACCCTCTGTACAATGGTGTACTAAAAGTAATTTGGAGTATATTGTAATTTGGGAAGTGGATATGAGAAAGTAATTCCAAGTTTAAAGTGAAAAGTTGTGAGTTGACATGACCACATGGACAATTTTTTCCACGACCATTTTCTCATGCTTCAGAAGGATGGAATCTTTCGAAAATTACAAAAAACGATTGCTTGACCAAAATTAAGTTCTATCAAGGCATGGTATGGTTTAAAAATACAGAAATCGTATAGTTATACAGAAAAGTCGGATATTCCATGAATTTGTCGAAACTGTGATCGTTTCTTCAGTTTACACTTAATAACATTAAAATAAATATGAACAAATATTGTAGAACATTTGACAAGGCCATCATATATATTATATACATTTTAACTTTAATCTTTTCAATTATAATATTGAATTCAACAGAATGTAAATACTGTATAAAATGTATAGATTTGTAAAAAGCGATAAATAGTCAATTGAATCAAAATTGATTTCTAATGTGTTCATGTGTGATTTTTGAAAAATACAATTTATAAATCGATGAAAAATAAGCAAAATAAGCAAGTACATCTTGTATATTTTGAATAATTTTTGAAAGCACCCTTTTCTGTGATTGCATTCAAAGCTAAATTGCACTTATTATTAGTTAAAAAACTAATTTAAATACTTATATTACTAATTAAAAAAACTAATTTAAATACTTATAGTTTTAACAGTTGATTGTCTCTTTCATTAAAACAAAAACATGCTTAATGTAAAATGTACTCTAACAGAAAATATGTCATGTTTTAAAAGAGTGGAATCAGCAAGGAATAAAGTAAACAGGCATGAATTTCTCAATCTGAATTATATTAAAATTCTAGTAAATCAAAAGCATTGAAATTCTTGAGAGAAAGAATAGAAATGAAACTGACAAGGGAGATCTTTTAGAATTGCCTGCTACTCCTGATTCTTACTAATAACTTTCTCGTGCTTATACGAGGGGTGGTTATAAAGTTTTCATAATATCTCTCTTTGTACTGTTTATTTATTTTTCCTGTTTGTGTATTACTACATCTTTTGTTGGATCAACACGTTATTGTATAAATTCTATAATGTACATTCTGTGAAAATTCATAAAAGTATTGAAAAACAAAAAAGAGGGATATTTGTTGACTGATATGTCATTTACATGACATGGTTATTGAGTCAATAAAAGATATATATATATATGAAAACTTCATGATCACCCCTCATATATAACAACTATATGTATTAACTGGAGCTTGTGATAGATGTATTAATTCTTCTATTCTTTTAGCTGTTCACTAATATTCTATGTTGTGTTCTCTTCTAGAAAAAGGTCTATGTGCATGGGGTGGTATAGTTGCTATGCTTCATCATATTTTTTTTGATTTGTGATTTGAATGATAATTTCACGGCAAGCTCTCCCATGTTGCAAACAGCAGTTGTGAAATTCTGTTCTTTTTGATGGGTGTGTTCTGTGCTTTTATTGCACTGGGGAGAATGTCGTGCATGAGTTCAGATTACAAAAACGCTGCGACTAAAATTAATTTTCTTCTGCTTTATTTTATTTCTTTGTTTTTATTTAATCATTCATCTAGTTGTTTATTTGTTTGTTTGTTTATTTACAGAAAAAGATTTTCATCATTGCCTGTGTTATTGGACTTTTAGTTGTTATTGGAGTAATAATTGCACTTAGCGTAGGATTACGTCGTTGATAGGCGCCATCTATCTGCATGGGACTCTTATGGCTTTCTCTTGCATTTCCCACAATTCTCAAATGGTTCTCTGGTTAAATCGTCCCATTTCCTACTTCAAATTTAAAATGGAAATTGGGCTTATTTGAAATGGGTAAAGTCCATTCATGACTTACCACATGTTAATTTAACATGAGCAACCACATGGGAATTGTGAGACTAGAAACTTGGAGTGGAACATTGCCAAATATCTAAATATACAAATCAAACCTCAGAAATTGTAGTAGAACACATTTGTCCACCTTGAAAAAAAGTGCACACACTGGTACTGGAAATTTTATTTTGAACAAATATTTTATTTGGATTTTTGAAATGCGACAATTTGAGTCTGAGACAATCTGATTCTTATCATTTCAGTTATTTTGATAACAGCTATGAAAGTGAAAAGCAAAAAATTGTCAAATATAAAATGGGAGGTTCGAAAGTGTATTCTCATTTAAATCATGTGACTTCTGTTGAAAATCGCTTGTTATTTTTTGGTCACATGTTGGACATGGACCAATCAGAGAGTGAGGAATATGACAGTGATATAATAATATACGATATCTATGGGCATAGTTCTACTACATAAATTCTGCATTGGTTTGTGTGGTTATATTTCAAAATATTGGGAGAGTACAAAAGGCAATAATGAAAACACATTTTAATCCATTTGCTTATACTATTTATAAACTGAGATTAAAAATTGACTTAAAATCTAACTTACTGTAAGACAGTGGATGCTTGCGACTAAAACTTAAATAACACTTTAATTTACTAACACAGGAGCCTCATCCATCCCATGATGCATGTGAACATTGCATTATGGTGCTGAAATGAGTTTCTTATTTACTAATAAGTTTTTAAGACAAGGTGCTATTTTAGGGGCCAAATACAGTTTAATGCACTCCCAAGAAATACTACCCGAGGGACTTATAAAGGGATGCTTATATGTGCTATGACTCTTATTTAAGAGTGAGGTATACTTATCACTTTTCAAAGGTTATTATTTCTCATGAAAGACCAACTTCTTAATTGAACATGTTTTCTTGGGTCTGTCACTAGACTGATTTTTGAATATGATTTGATTTACTTGACCTTGAGAAATTTTATATAGTTATGATATACAAGTATGATGCGATATTAAGTCAATATGTACATATGATTGCAGTCTCTATTCAAGGGAGTTTAATGTTCGGGCCTTTTGTATAAACATTGTCATGGCCTTAATTCACTATCCAAGGGAGTTTCATGTTCATTGGTACAGGGCCTTCTTGTAAAGAAATTGTCATGGCCTTATAAATATATGGTTTATAGGTTTCTTGTAAAGAATTAAGGCCTTAGTTCTATTATTAAGAATAGATGTTGTATAGGCCTTTTGTACAGATTACTGTCATGGCCCCAATCTCAAACATTTCACATTTGATTCTACGTGTAATTTAGATTGTTATAACTTACAACCCACAAACATTCTTTTTATTGAAATATACTTTTTGAGATTACAGTAGAACTTGCGTAAGTGGAATACCTTTTTTTAAATTTTTTAATGACTTTGGAAAATGTTCACTCATAGTAGTGTATCAGTTATATTTTTTTTATTTATTGACACAACCTAGTAACATATTACATTAAATAACATTCATACTAGTTATAGAGATGTTCCGTTTTACAGGCTTTACTTAAAAGGGTTAATGAACATACTTTTTGTACCCAAACACTAAACAAAAAGGGTTATATGTAGAATTTAGTGTGAAACACAAGAGATTGTGGCCTTATCTTATGAGAATAAATGTTGTATAGGCCTTTTCTTCATGGCCATCAGTCTTATATGAAAATAGATATACAAAATATGGAAATAGATATACAAAATATGGAAATAGATGTTAGAAAATAAGATTTTGTTATTTGCATTTATTTTAGTTTTTAAACAAGGGTTTGAGTTCTTTGACACATACATTCTTCTTTTTTTTCTTTTGTTTATCATTTTTGTTGATTTTGATTTCATGTCTCATATACAATATTTGGCTATTATGGAACTCAAAACTTTGTTAATGACTGTTGTATTGTAAACTATATTTATGATTTGCATCGCTACCTTGGCAACACAAATACAAAATCAAATATCAAAATACTCTCACCCTGCCCTCTCTAGATAGATAGAAATGAATTCAATTCAGCTTTAATTCGTTATGTGTTGAATAGCATAAGACTAGAAATTTCAAAGATCAGTTTTGGGACTAAAAATAGAAACTACAAAATGTCACGTTGAAAAATCCTCCCCAGAAAAACATTTGTTTTGTTTGTTTTGTATTTATGTTGCTATGGTGATTAAACTGATTTTAGTTCACATTAATTTCTTGCTTTTGATGTAAGTTTGTAAAATATTTACATTTTTGAATTTTCATTTCTTGAAACTTATTCATACATTCTAATATATGTTGTCCAAATATCAGCACTTAAGAAAAATCAATTTAATTTCATTATGGGTCAGTGCTAAATGATAGTGTGGTGATCAAGTGAATGAGAAAATCAAATGATTTTCAAATGATGGTTACCTTAATCATCTAATTTTAGAACAACTTTCAATTTTTGTGGAATCTTCTTAAATTGTCTATGGTGTTTACACATAGCAATCTTTAAAAGAAAATTCAAAAAGAAAACCACAATTAGATGTTTTTCCAAAATTAGAGGATTACATTTTGGGTCACCCTGTAGTACTGTTAATATTTGGACACCATTATGAAGAATCATTTTTTACATGAACCTTACATTTCACAACAATGACACTTTTTGTAAATAATTCAGCATGTGTAAAATGATGTACATCATGTTAAAAAGTCCCTTGTAAAATTCATTATTGTATTTTAAATTTTCTTTGAGTGGATTACGAGAAAAAAATATTGAAAATTAAAGCAGATATGTAATTGTATCATTATTGAATTAGAATAAATTGCATAAAAATATTTTGAATTTTGGAAATTGAAACCATTACACCAACTTCTAATCCATTATAAGAGAAGTATTTATTCAATATATTAGAATGGCAAATATAAATATAATATTCAACAATTTAATATAATACAGGGTGACCCAATGATACAACACTCTATTTTTCGAATAACTTTGTCAGTAATAATGGGATCATTTTGATATTTTCTTTACTGCCTTTAATTTGAAAGAAAAAAGTATTTTGGGTCTAGGTATACCCTCCCAATATAACAAGTTGTTCCAAATTTGGGTTTTAGAGTTTGGTTCTTCATTACCATTACTGCCAACAAACCATCAAGTCATTTATTTCAAACCATACAATAGCCAAAATTAAATGAGGGACAATTTTTATAATCTTCTATAATCATCTTGTACACACATCTAGCCATTTCAAAGTCACAATTGAGTTCATGAATGTTCATGAATATTGCACAAAGATTTCTGATATGGCATATGTTAAAAATATCATGGAACTTGATTCATGAAAATCCATTTAGTAGTCGATGCATTTTACAGTTCTTTATATTTTCAAGAACTGTCCCCAAAGATCAGATGTACATAATTCCAGAACAATATGAACATATTTCCAGTATAATATGAACATATTTCCAGTATAGTATGAACATATTTCTAGTATAATATGAACATATTTCCAGTATAGTATGAACATATTTCAAGTATAATATGAACATATTTCTAGTATAATATGAACATAATTTCCAGTATAGTAAGAACATATTTCAAGTATAATATGAACATATTTCAAGTATAATATGAACATATTTCAAGTATAATATGAACATATTTCCAGTATAGTATGAACATATTTCAAGTATAATATGAACATATTTCTAGTATAATATGAACATATTTCTAGTATAATATGAACATATTTCCAGTATAGTATGAACATATTTCCAGTATAATATGAACATATTTCCAGTATAATATGAACATATGATGCAATATGTATATAACCATGTGTGAAATAAATTATGTATATATAGTAATGATCTATAAATGTTGTTTTGATGTTGTTCTTTATTTTCTATTTAGATATTTTGTTTGTTAATTGTTGTAAAAATG